ATGCATTGCAAATAGCTGTCAAGCAATGCAATAAAGATGACATATCCGTAAGCATTATCAGTGTAAACGAAGAAGATTCCAGCAAAGATCTCAATCAGCTTGAACCCTCTTTCATGTACTCCCAAATATTCAAGGAAATTCTTCTTGATATGAAACATAGTGAACAAGCCAAGAAGGATTTTATTCAACTTTGGCGAAACGAATACAAGAATAACAAAGCTAAAGCAAAAGATATCGCTGAGTTCGAACTTAAATATAGTGATCAATCAGCAATTTGGTGGTACAGTCGTGAGTGTTTTCTTTACGAGATGCTCAACCAGTCTCTTCGAACCCTCGATGGCGAGACAATTATAAGAATGGGTTTTTTTCTTGCTGATTTGTATCGACAAATCGATAGTTTACACAAACAACAGATCAGTCTTTATCATGGAGAGATCTTTGAAGTTTTTCGGGGACAAGGATTATCCACAGTCGACTTCGACAAACTTCAGAAGAACAAAGGTGGACTTATTTCCTTCAATAATTTTTTATCCACCAGTACAGATCGAGCTGTCTCTCTCGGTTTTGCCAGAGGTGCTCGAGGAAAATCCAGTATGGTAGGTATCCTATTCCAAATGTCGATAGATCCCACCATCTTAGCAAGTCCATTTGCCTCTATCCGGGAAGTGAGTAATTTCCCGGAAGAAAGTGAAATCCTCTTCTCTATGCACACCGTTTTTCGAATTGGTGAAATTCGAAAACTTGAAAATGAAAGTTCACTCTATCAAGTAGATCTTAAACTGACGTCGGATGAAGACCAACAACTGCGTCAACTCACAGAAAGTATACTAGGAGAAGATTCACATCAGACATGTTGGGGACGATTGGGTGTATTGCTATCAAAAATAGGACAATATAACAAGGCCGAGAAATTGTATACCACACTACTCGAACAAATATCCAACGACGATACTAGAGCTATAATTTACAACAATCTTGTAGTGCTGAAAGATCATCAAGGACTATACAAAGAAGCAGCATCATTTCACAAAAAATCCCTCGAGATGATGCTAAAAACTCTTCCAGAAGATCATCCTTCATTAGCTACTTCCTACAACAACATCGCTGGAGTGTATTACAACATGGGTAACTACTCGAAAGCACTTGAATTTTTCGAAAGATCACATAAAATCCTCGAAAAATCTCTGCCTTCGAATCATCCCTCACTGGCTACTTCCTACAACAACATCGGTTCGGTGTATGACAGTATGGGTCACTACTCCAAAACACTTGAATTTTACGACAAAGCACTTAAAATAAAAGAAAAAGCTCTGCCTCCGAATCATCCAGATTTGGCTACTTCGTACAACAACATCGGTCAAGTGTATTACAACATGGGTGACTACTCGAAAGCACTTGAATTTTACGAAAAATCACATAAAATCTACGAAAAAGCTCTGCCTTCGAATCATCCCGATTTGGCTACTTCCTACAACAACATCGGTCAGGTGTATAAGGACCTGGGTGACTACTCGAAAGCACATGAATTTTACGAAAAATCACATAAAATTCTCGAAAAAGCTCTGCCTCCGAATCATCCCTTATTGGCTACTTCCTACAACAACATCGGTCAGGTGTATAAGAACCTGGGTGACTACTCGAAAGCACTTGAATATTACGAAAAATCACATCAAATCTACGAAAAAGCTCTACCTCCGAATCATCCCGATTTGGCTACTTCCTACAACAGCATCGGTTCGGTGTATGACAGCATGGGTCACTACTCCAAAACACTTGAATTTTACGACAAAGCACTTAAAATAAAAGAAAAAGCTCTGCCTCCGAATCATCCAGATTTGGCTACTTCGTACAACAACATCGGCTTGGTGTATCACAACATGGGTAACTACTCGAAAGCACTTGAATATTACGAAAAATCACATAAAATCTTCGAAAAAGCTCTGCCTTCGAATCATCCCGATTTGGCTACTTCCTACAACAACATCGGTCTCGTGTATAAGAACATGGGTGACTACTCGAAAGCGCATGAATTTTACGAAAAAGCACTTAAAATAAGAGAAAAAGCTCTGCCTCCGAATCATCCCGATTTGGCTACTTCCTACAACAACATTGGTACTGCATATTTCGGCAAAGGAGACTACTCGAAAGCACTTTCATTCTTAGAAAAGGCACTTGCTATTCGTCAAAAATCACTTCCGTCAACACATCCTCTAATTAAAGAGACGAAAGATAACATTGATCATGTTAAAAAGAAAATGTAAACAGTTGTTTTTGCTTGCTCAATAAACTTATTCACATTGCTAATCGTTTCGATTTTTCTCGGCTCATTTTGGCTTATTCGCGCGCGCGCAACAAGGAAGAGATCGCTTGTCAATGCCATAGGTACCACAGACGGACCACGTCGAACTGGTAGGGCAATGGCCGAAGGTATGCCGTATGAACGGTAGGGACCAACGACTCATAGAGGCCTTCCCCAGTACTACACTGCTTCGCTATGGCAAGAAAGTTCCTCTACCTATTGAGTCAGACAACATAGCTCTCTGACCCACACTGTTAATATCTATAACTCAACTCATCTCATCTCAAACGTACTCATACTTATACTCATAATGACTGACAGTGTTTATTTTCTCTTAAAATAAGTTATCTCAACTCAACTCAACATGTAAAAAATTTTTTTTATCCTATTTCTCAATGTTATATCGTATCGTAGCTCATCTAAAAAAGAAAAGTATAATTTTAAATATAAAATGAATTAATTTACCTTAAATATAATACAATATATCATTATCATTGTAAATAATATCATAATAATAATTAACCCGGGTATATAAATACATTGTAATGCATTGTAATGATACAACTCGACTGTATTGTTTCATGATGATGTATTCATGTTTTTATAGACTCTCAGGTTAATTGATCGATGCTCATGATTTTGATTGATTTTCTTATCAATCATTCAACACATAACATTACATAATTGATTTGATGATCAATTTTTAGGTAGTGATATGTGTATATTTTTTTTTCTCGTCTGACGTACATTAATATCATATTGTCGTCGACGAAAAAAAATTTTATCTTATATATACACTGTGTGGGTCGAACACTTACATTTAGAGAAATCAACGATGAGAACAAAACATTTAATTATACTTCAAAATTTATCTGCAATAGTTTATATATGTGTTTTTTTTATCATACAATGATGAATTCATTCGGTTAAATTGAAGATTAAATTTGAAAATAATAGTTTTTTTTTAGACTCCTCTATTCTGAATGATAAATGAAAATCATTTTTTTTTAGTATTCTTTTATTTTTCATTTATTTTTCTTTCATCTTATGTCATAGGATTTTCATTTTTAAAATATCGTCTTCAAAATGATTAAACAAAAATTGGCGTCTCTCTATACATGTGAGAGCAATCTAGAATCATTGATCCGACGCTGGAATTCGATGGGAAGACAGACTTTTCCATTATACAAATATGTACAAATAAATTGAAACTAAATAAAAGGAAATGTGAAGTGATATCATCACTTATTGTTTTTGTTTTTGTTTTCCTTTTATAAAAAATTTAAGAAACTTTAATTTTAACATAGTGAATAATTTCTCAAGTGTACTTATTCATAGAATTGCTTCGACACATAATATTGATCAATGAATCGAAAGATATTTTTTTATATGATTCATCTTGATATTAGGATTTAAGACAAGTTAATTTATCAATTCAAATTTTGTTTTTCATCAAAACTTCTCCTTTAGTTATAAAAGCTGATTCATTGAATTCATTAAACTTACTATCATTCTCAATCTTGATGCATAGGTTTTGCAAAAAAATTATCAAAAGCTAAAAGATTGACACATCTAGAGCATTTATTTCTAAAACATATGCAATAAACTATGAGTTATAGTATTATACAATGAAAAAGTTAATCATTTCGTGATAAGTAAATGCTCATCTGCATGCTTCAACAGTCATGGATTCATCTCAAAATAGTTTCCTGATGATGCAGTATATCATATTTCTGCTCTTTAAACATTTTAACATAATTGATTTATGTCTTGTTGTTTTCGTTATCAGTTTGCCTTAATTGAATGATGAAAATAATTGTTTCGCTTGTTAGAGACCCTTCAAAGTAGATCTTGTTGATAAAATCGATTCGAATAGTTGAATCATTCATGAATGTTTTAATATTCGTGGATGAAGGAGGTAACTACTTCTAGTTACTTGACAAAGCACTATCTATGAAGTAATGCCATTTGAATAGAATGAAATGAAGTATTGTCTGAGCTTTAATAGAGATCAAACTAAGAGACAATAATGATAATAGTACAACATTTGATGAATATATTCATGTATTTCTCATTATGTTTCTCTCGTATAAAAATTATTCGACAGATATAACAATTCCACCATTTTGTTTTCATAGTATTTAATTTTTTTATAAAAATTCGATGTTGTTTTTTTGTTTTTGATTACATGTGAAGAAAGAGGCATTACATAAAAAAGAAAACATACATTCTTCAAATATAGTTTTATTTTAACATGTATTTTGAACTACATGTTTTCTATTGATAATAATTAGAAAAAAAGAATTTTATTCTCGTAGTACGTCACTTTCGTTCATTGAAAAATATCTCTGAGTTTTTATAAATAAAATTATGTATAGATTAAATATTTGAGTCTGTAAAAAAATCTTAGTAGTAATAACAAATAAATTAATGAATCACATATTTTTTTTCTCATTATACATATATAAATGGTTTTTTTTTATTATACTAGAAAGTGTAAGTGAATCTATGGAATATGAATGAGATTTAAACAAAAACTGCAAACCTCGTTCGATTAAATGATATTGTCCTTATAATTTTTATGAAAAATTTCTACTAATAAAAAAGCTTTTAATAAAAGATTTATATATGGATGTTTTTTTAATATTAATCTCTTTATATATCTTGTTGAGTCTGACACTGCACTGTTTTTCTTCAATATGAATATAGAAAGTTCACTAGCAACACAAATAAAAGAAGATTACGATAAACATTTTATTCATTTCATAAAATTGATAAATTCACAG